AGTCAGTTGCTGTTCTATTAGCAAAGGTTTTAAGATATCGACCACGATGATGTTGCCCCCCAAATACAATTTGGTGAAAATGTTAAGTGCTGGAAAATGGTTTGTAATGATTTTTCGTTACCCGACTCTATAATGCGGCTAAAATCACATCAAACTGTGCCCACTAACCTAAGTCATTGGTCATGTACTCCAAGACGTCGAAGGACCAGCCATGGTGATGAGCATATCCCTGGTACATGTCAAACACCTTCAGAGGAGAAAAGACGAGTCGGCGTGTTAACATACAGGTTTGTTGCAAATGAGTAATTCACATAGGTACGACATTTTGAAATGCAATATTTTTCTCTATATAAAAAAATATGTAAAGATTTTCTTATTCAGTTATTTTTTCAAAAGGCCCACTATCTAATAAAAATAAATACTTCCAGACCTCATTGGTAAACAGCATTGCCTCCTGACCCCCGACACCGGCTGTGACCTCCAGCACGAGGTCGCTCAGATCTGCCTCCTCCTCAGGGATCAACAGATTCAGGATCTGATTGGTGAAGCAGGTTAATATGAAAGAAAGGTAAAACAACATCAATGAAACATCTAAAGTGGAACAAGTACAGGACGATGAATCAGCAATGGAAAGCAATTGACTATTTACTGCAACGTTACTTTATGCTGCAAACTAAATACCTCTTGTCTAATATCTTGTATTTCTTGCAAACATCCTTCACTCTCCAGCTCTGCCAGTTCTCGCAGGGCTGGGTCTTCATCTATGAGGAGAAACCAAATGAATTCAATGATGCAGTGATATATAGTATTTGTGCCATGTGATGATTTATTGATATCAGTTAAAAAGGTCAACAAGTAAGAACTGAATTGAGATTGATAGTTCATATTTGTATTTTGAGAATTGCATTGTAGATATCATCAATTAGATTAGATTCCTTTATTGTCACTACAGAGTACAGCAAAATCCCAAGCATTCCCGATGGTGCAATCACACATAACAGAATCAGACAGTATAAGTATCATTTTGACAATACAAGCTAAAACGTTTAATATAATATATAAAGTGACGATAAATTAGACCTATGATACATAGAACAGTACGCTTACAAGACAATACAACAAAGCCATACAAATACAAGAACAATACGGCCAAGGCAGTAGAAAATGTAAACAAGTCAATAAGTAAGTTATTGTATATGTATCCATCAGTGCAGTTAGAAATAAATGTGTTCTATAAAAACGGTATGAGGTAGAATATAAGGTGATGATAATTGCAACTATTCACAATGACATTATGAGTAAGTTGTAATATTGAGTGGTATTTAAAGGGCTTGCTATAACGCCTCACCTTTCAGCAGCGCTTCGGTCTCAGCCATCTCTCTCTGCTTGGCGTCCAGCTCTCTGATGCTCTGGATGAGAGGAGCCAGCAGGGACACTTTGGTCCTCTTGGACATCAGCGTGTCCTCACTGGACTGCTCCTCTGGCACACCGCTGTTGGCTGCTCTCAAACATTCATTGTACTCCGCCTCCATCTTCTTCAGGTATTCTTGCAGGGATGTCTTAGAAAAAAGCTCATCCACTGACAGTATCTTGGCCACCATCAAAGGTGTGCCGGTGTGAAGAGTTCTTGTAGTTCTGCCACAGCGATGATCGGTGTGTCGAGGAAATCTGACAGTTTGGTTGATGGCATTTGGGGACTTTTGTAAACAAGGTATCCACAAGCTGTAGACACAATCATTTCCTCTTGGAAGAAGGTGTATGGCTCTTCTGAAAGCCATTGCGTGAAAAGATAATCTGATTTGTTGTGAAGATTCACTGAGGGGTCAGATCAAGATATGACTTGGCTTTTGCAAATGATCCTCTCTTGTCCGGGAGCAAACATTAGCCAAATTCCACTAGAAAAATTTGGTATTTTTTCTTTTCATTTGTAAAAAAAAGCAATACATGTTCTTACAATTGCTATGTTAAGATAGCTTTTGTTTCCAATCAAGTCATTCTAGAATTCGGCATCGTTTTTGTAATGATAAGCGGTGTTTTAAATTGATACAATTGTATATTCATTAATACGTTTATGTCGCCAACAATGTCTGGCAATTTGTCATGGTTTCCAGCGAATTAAGACCAATACAGCTAAAACAGGAAATATCTTTTTGAATTTATAAAAAGCTGCTATGGCTATTAACCTAGAAAACAAAATGATAGCATTGAGAAGGTAATCAACTCAATGAGGGTTTATTTTGAGCTAATAAATCCTCTTAAAATCCAATTACAAACCTTAACATTTCTCCATTAGATATATCCTGTTATCGGAACAGCAGTGTGACTATAAATAACAAAAATGTGGTCTTAAATTGTTTAAAGGCAGTCTAGCAACTGATTGTTAATAGTTGTTGTGAAAATATGCTTCCTTTTACCACCTTGCTGAAGGGCGCAGACATATTGAATGTAGTACGCATGCGCAAAGAGGGTAAGCTCTTCTTCTACGGAAATGACTGCAGACTTAAAATCCCGACAGACCCCCCTGCAGGGGTTCGGTTTGCAAGTTCGTTTTCACAACATGTGAGTGTGCTTTTGTCTTGAGAACAAGCGTTTTCAAGACTTAAAATAATTTCCCCCTGGCCACACACATATAATGGTTCCTACGAGAAAGTCTGTAGCCTGACACTGTAAATCCTGTCTATACCTTCTTATTATACATCCATGGTCTATACAGGTGTTGCTAGCAAATAGTAGGAATTCTTATTTTCATTACGTATTTTTGTTGGTTTTAGTAAAACAGTTTTTTTCATTTTAAATATCTTTATACCTTCTTTGCCTAGTTCGTTTTTATGATTGTATTATGTATTATTTTACTTATTTCATTATCATTGTATTATATTTTATTATTTGTATTATTATTTCATTACTATAATTATAATGTTATGTTGTACACGTCATTATAGATTTTTTAATAATTATTTTATTGTTTTGTATTCAGTTCATTTTTTATTGTATTTTTGATCATATTCTTTTTAATATATTTATATTATCTTATGTTGTGTTATTATTATTTTTGCATGTATTTATCAAAACATTTTCTTTCTTTTTTCATTATAAGTTTGTGTATTATTATTGTTATTCTAATTATTTATTTCAATATGATTCATATTAATTATTATTTAATTATTCATTGTTTATGTATCAATATCACTTTTTTATTTAATTGATTTATTCATTGTATTTTTACTTGTCTTTATTGCCATTTAAATTTGTTAGGAATTTATTTTTAAAAATGTGTTATTATTATTATTTTGTTATAATTAATAAATATATAAATGTAAGTTAAAATACATGTAGAAATACATTAAAGATATATAATAATGAAAGTTCTGTTTTATTCTCAACTTATATATTTGTATTTATATATTTACATATTTTTATACATGTTTTCTTATGTTCATTTAATCCTGTATTTATTCCTGTATTTATGCATTTATAATAATAATAATAATAATAATAATAATACGTTTTAATTATAAAGGAGCCTTTCTAAGCTCTCAGGTCGCCGTACAAGGTACACAAAACAAAAACAACACAATATAATCAATAAAAACAGAGGATGTTATACATTTGCGTATCATGTGCTCTGTCCTCCATACCTGTGTGCTCATTTTGTGCATAAAGGTACAAATTCACTCCAAATCACATCACAGCAACACCTATAGTTGGGTCTGCGATGTTCCAGAAACATATCGTTGGTCCAGAGGTCTATTCATTGGTTTCCCCCTCAGGTGCTCAAGGTACAACACCCATGGGAGGGACTTCTTTTGTCTTTTGCTATGCTGATGTTAAATCTGGAGAAATTGTCCCCACCACTTTTTCTAACAAAGTGACGCCCATGTTTTGTAACCTTAGTGAATTCTCATACTGCACAACGCATGGGGTCAGTTGCCAACTTTGATTGTGCTGTCTCCTAAAATAGTAATGACTGTGAGGACTTGCAAATTGGATTGATGCGGATCATCATTCATTAGCATTATGCACATCAGTATGCAAAGATTATCAGTGTCAGGTCAGAAGGGTAAGCTTACGTATCTCTCTCTCTGTCTGTGTGGTACTGGCACTGCAGAAGGTATTTTCTTTTCAGTTGTACTTGTTTGTCCAACTTCCAACTTCACTTTGTTGTTGTCTAAATATGTTGGTTATGACTGGGAGAGGATTTGGCACCCTTGTTGTATTTGCCTATAATGCATCTGAAATATTTAAAGTAACCAACTACATCCTGCAACCCCCTCCCCTGCCTGGTTTCAATGAAAGAGCCACATCACACATTCCAGGTGGGGGTGTGAACTGGACTGTCCTGTGAATGCAGTCTGACTGTTCTTCTTCTCAAACAGTGGGATTCCTGACAACAATTAGAAGTAGACAGCTAAATAAATATCTGAAATATCATTTTCATCACTTCCAGCAGACCCTTTGAAAATATATAATTAATTTCACATAATAATTGTAATCAGAATCATACGCAAGATACCTTCCCCCTTTATATACATGCTCTATACATTTGTAAAAAGTCAACTGTCCATCAGATCGTTTTTAAGGAACATCAAACTTGTTGAACATAACTTTAAAATGCTTCATTTTAGTGAAACTGTTTCAGGAATACTATTTAAAGATGTTTCAATTGTATTTACGTGAAAACCAACAGGTCGATGTACCATGCACTCCCTTGACATATATTAATTCATTTTTTTAAGGTTTACCGTCAACAACCTCTCCAATATTAATACACATATTCTGTAACACACTCAATTCGGCGTACTACTTTTTTTATACTTCAGTACTGTATATGACACTTTTTGTACAGTGAATTTTCAGTGTTTCACATCGGATGGAAACGGAACGGAAACCACGTCGACTGACATCACTTCGTCAAAATGTTAGAACCTCAAATCCCATTGGTTGATATGGTTTAAAGGGACACACTCCCGCTCGATGTGATTGGTTGCCGCATTTTGCGCACGGATTTCAAATAGAAGCAGAAACTGGCGGATGTTCAGTTGAGGAACATTTCATTTGGAATTGGCAAACACAGGAGTCAGACGAAAGATAGCTCAGCGGTAAAAAGGAGGGAAGCGAGGGTCAGCTTTGGATAACGATATTTACAAGCTTAAGGTAAGAGCCTTTGCTTAATATCCTATGGACTATTAATTGCTAATGTTATTATTAAGTATTAGGATGTTCTGTCAGCTTTGTTAATAGCATTGACACTTTAATTTAGCTGGATTAAGATTAATAAGTGTTGGTTAAACGTTGAGAAATGCATATTATCTGAACAATCTCAGCCGAAAATATACTGCATTTCAGAGTATAATAAGAACCTTAGTTTGAGTTCTGAATGCAATAGTCTACAAGTAATAAAAGCTAGCTACTTGGTTAGAAGCTACTTCCCAAGCGTCCCACTGTACGCGCGTAAATGCATGATTATAGTGATAACTTCGCGATGTATTTGATATAAAGCACTTATCCCGTAATGTTCAACATATCATAGTACAATATACACGTAATGTAACTACCCACTTATTTAGCGTATGCATTTAAAGACTGCTATAGGGACCTAGGTACGTTCACGTCACCGATACGTTTCCGCCAAATCTACGTACATCGCGCCAAAATCTATTATTTGAAAAGTGATATAAACTAAACTACCCCAACCGTGTTCAACGTTAATAATACAAGTTTAACTGCAATATAGTCACTTCTTATGACTTTCTCTTATGTCAAGAAACGCATTAGTTACCTTCGATTAGCGGGGAGCTAGGTTGGCTTGCACAAGAGAAGCCATGTTGCCTGGCAGTCACATTGAATATTTGTTAACTCAATTAACTCCTGATTTGTCTTTTTTATCCAGATATCTTCATGGTGCGCAGTGTGTTTTACTGTCGGAAAGTCATCATGAAATGCCCTCACTACGAGTATACAATGGCCAACAATATGGATAAAAGCGCTGCAGCAGACTCCAGGGTGCTTCACCTAAAAGCTTCCCCAGTGAAAGAGCCCCTCCCCCTCAAACCCCAGTGCCCACCTGCAGGAGTGACCACAGAGTTGTTCTCTCATAACAACAACAACACCAAAGCAGTCCACAACAAGGAAAACAGCACCAACAAAGAGCATGACTGGACTCTGGTTGAAGCGTTTGAGGACAGTGGCTATCTGTCTCTGCAAAATAGTCATGATAATGACTATTGTGGTGATAATGATAATCATGGGGAGGAAGAGGATGAACACATCCATAAAAAAGCAGCAGCACCCCTGCCACCTTCAAATGCGGCGAAGCATAACAAAAAGACAACTCCAAATAATACTCCCACTAAATGTAAAGGAAGGACTGACTGTAACCGGCAAGTGTCTCTGGAGGTAGCTTCTACTCCTGTGGATTGCCATAAAAGGAGAACTGTGGCATACTCGCTGTCATCCACCCCGTCCGAGCATCACAATAACCCCAACCTGCCCATACTGAAGTTCCAGAAGACAGTGTGTGAAGAGCTTGCCAAGAACTATCGTAAGAATAAGAGGTAAGATAATTACGCATATCTGATAACAAAGACTTTATCTGCTCCGATTTGCACACAATAGGTAACACACAGACCTACCCATTAGTGTGCATTTAGATGTGGGATAGTATAAAAGGTTCTGCTTTTGGGATATCTTCCCAATGATAAAAGGGAGTTAGGAATTTTGTATCCATCATTGTCGCATATCTAGTGAAACATTTTAAAGGTTAGGACCATAAACGACTACCATTCCCTACCACAATCAAAGCTGGCAGACATGCCTGAGATACATTTTGGGGTCTCATTTTACGGGGCCACTCTGCTAAACCTAAACTAATGTCAAATTTGATTCCTTGTTTCAGTTGGACTTAAATGAAAATGTACAATTGTCTTCTTGTGTCTCAGTTATGACTGGAGCATCGTCAACAAGGTTGCAGAGCGTCATCTTTTGGATCGGGTGATCGGAAGCCATATGGGCCAGGAGTACATCGACGTGTTTTCGTGTCTTCTGTCCAGGAACATGAGAAGGATCCTGACCAACATCCTGGCCCTGCTGGGAGACATGGACCTCATCAGGTAAATTACAAATGCTTTACTATGTGGCAAGTTGTGTCGACACAAAACCCATCTAGATGCTGAAGTAAAGAAAGTTTACTTTTGTTTATGTTATCAGCTGAAGTCACAGTTTATAGTTTAAGACGCGTTGGAACTATTGTTGAATTGATTACTACGTTTTTTTAAGTTTAAGAAACTGCACACAAGTGACAACACGTGAACGTTGAGAGTTAAAACATACTGGTCAGAAATTGTTAGAAATTGTACTTTTTTTAACATTTTTATTATTATAGTTACCATTTTTCTCTTGTGTAAAGTCCTCATACAATTACCTTTTCCCCCTCAGCTGTAAGAAAGTGAGCGGGACATGGAGGAGGTTCATCTGTGAGGATGCAGCAGTTCTGAGCAGGTGTCAAAGAGCTGAGGAGGCACTCAGGGTGAGGACATCACACAAGTGTACACCAGGCTTGGAATTTCGTCATTTTAGGGGCAAGGCCATTTGGCCTTCCCGTTCACATTTTTTTTAAGGGCACAAAGGCCACATGACAGGGCACAAAGGCCGTTTGGTTAAATTACGCTGGTCAATCAACATGACTGAAAAGTGTAGCACTAACGTCAACGCCAGTCGTTTTACAAATGGCTGAATAGCAATAGTGTTTCTTTAACGTATACGTTAAGTTCAGCCATAAACCACACAAGTCAGTCATGTATTATATCAAAACCGCTTAGCAAGAAAAATACTAGATTCAAAGGTGACAGCTATCTGCTAGCTTGTAGAAGCAACACTAGATGTAGACCCCTTGAAGGGAAGACGTTAGCGCTATCCAAACTAGCTAGCTATCGCTAGTTTTCATGACAAAATGTAACGAGTCGACTTTAAATAGGCTAATACAATGGTAATTACCTATCAATAGTACTTTCTATAAACACGTAAATGTTAAGTCCTTTCAAATACTACCACATACTTCAGTTAAATCATATCAAAACAGCTTGGTCCGCTTGCTTACCTGTGCTTGTCTTGCTCCCGCGGCTGAGGAGGAGGCTGTCGGGCCCCTACAGGCATTTCTGACGGAACAATCACAGCAGAGCAGACACGGGACTATCCTACTGCGCGCACTAATATGACTTTACTAGCGTTGTTTACACTGGAACTTTTGACAGGGGCACCAAGGCCACTTTGGCCGTGAATTGCATTTTTTTTTCACAGGGCATCACGGCCAAAGTGCGGGGCAACGACGGCCGTGGCCGTCGTGAAATTCCCACCCTGGTGTACACCCTTTGTAGGACCAAGCACTGAGTTGTGCAAGAATCTTGCATTGTTGTGCCTCTGGCCATCAGTGAGATTGTTGCTGAACAACTTACTCCATATGCTGTTCATGTTCTAATGTGTTTCCTTTTTCTCGTTTCTCAGGAGTCAAGGAACTCCACGAGGCAACAGGGCTGTGGTCTAACGAGAGATTCAGTTGTGTCCAGGATGGTGTTCTCCTGCATGCAGGCCCTGGCCTCACCAAGTACCCCATCTTCTTCCTCCTCATCGAGCTGCAGGGTCAACAGACGTCCTGCTCACTCTCAGAAAGACATCATGCCCCATCAGGCCTACACACGCTTCAATGAATACATGCAGGTAAGAATTTGTTTATAAATCAGAATAACTAGCGCAAGAACCCATCAAACCCAGCATTTCTGAATATAAATGTGTACTGCTAGTATAAAAGCATATTAGGAGGGACACGCAACAGCCCCTTCTTAAACAGAGATTTCAGTACATGCCAAGAAGAAAATAAAGCCTGTGCAATGGATTTTCCTTTATTACTCTGAACCAAACAATGGCAGTGTAATGTTGCCCCAGAGTAGGATTTGAGATGGCAAAAGAAGGCGTAACATTCAACACAACTGTGTTAGTGTGTAGTGTGTACAGTCTGTCCCAGCTGCTGTGGTGTGACTTTCAATCAGGTTCACGCTGTGGAAAATACATTACATTATTTGGATTCTAGTTGTGGCGGCTATATTCCCATTGAATACGGCTAAACTTCGCTCATTGTTGTGACGCGTATAAATAATAAAGTCTGTACTGAACTCGATGTTTTAAGGATATTTAATATTGTAAATCTAAACAAACAGAATCATACGGTCAACAAAATATATCAGAGCTAAGCTCACCCCCATTGTCATGCTACCAAACCTGGTGCCCTAAATACCATTAACCACACCCATGTGACAATCACGGAAACAACCAACAGGGTTCCCGCGTAGTCTTAAAAAGTCTTACATTTGATAATCAGAATTGAAGGCCTTAAAAAGGTCTTAAATAAGAAAGGTCTTAAATATGATTTAGATGGTCTTAAAAATGATGGGATTTGAAAGGTACTTCTGTGTTGCGATCGCGTCTAAATGTGTTTTGGGGGAAATGTCCGGGCTGCAAAGTAACCAGTACGTACGTAAGACCCTTTCAGTTCCCCCCAACAATTTGTATTGAAATAAATCAACATGGAACCAGTAATCACTAACTTTATTTCCCCGGCCCCTTATCAGAGAACACCCAGCTAGTAACCTAGCAACCAAGATTCAGCTAGCGGCAGTCAGAAATCAGGTATCTTCGAATCTACTTACAAATATGGGGACGTGTAAGTAAATATCGAATTTAGTGCTTGGTTGAAACCAGTGGAGGGGAACGTGTTTGAAGCCCGCTGCACCTTTTGCAAACAAAATTAGCGTTTGTTTAGCTAATTTAGCGTTGGCTAGTGCAGCTACTCCCGCAACAACACCGGGGAACCTCCGGGCGACGTTTGAGTCTACGTCAACCCTAAAAGCGGAGGGGCTGTGGACGCTAAATACCGTAGCTAAACACCAATCATACAACAGCATGAAGACGGCAGAGCTCTGACTATAGCTCTTGTCACTCACACACACACACACTTTTTGTCTAACATAGTTCTGTGTACTGTTATGTTCAGTCATCGTTCTTATGTTGAACATGAATACGTTTACTTTGTAAAATTATGGGACGTATTTCTTCTTTCCTAGCAATTTTCAGTCATACTTTCTTGCAGTGAAATAGGTCTTAAATTCTATTCAAAGTGGTCTTAAAAAGTCTTAAATTGAGTTGGTGAAACCTGCAGGAACCCTGAACCAATTACAAGCGTGTGTGGTGTTAACAAATAATGAAGATAGTATAACTATAAACACATGCTACCACAGCATTTTGGCTCCTACTCATTAACTAGTGTTAACATGAATTTGTCTTGTGTTCTGTCCAGGCGGCCAGCAGTCTGAAGACGCACGAGTCTCTGCGCCCCTGCAAGCTCTGCGGCGCTCCAGCGACGCACCTGTCCGAGGTTCGGAGGGCCACGTGCACCAGCCTCAACTGCCAGTTCGATTTCTGCACCTACTGCCAGGAGAAGTTCCACGGCTCGAACCCCTGCAGAGTGGTGAAGTCCCGATCCCTCTTTTCCACCCCGAAGACGACCCCGATCCTTCTAGGCAGCGCTCGCAGCAAGAGGAGCATCCGGCGCCTGTGATGGAGCGCTACGGGGGTTTTATTCTCTGAATGTTTTAATGTCCTCGGTCTACGCTGGCTCCCTCCAAAGCTCGGACAGCGAGGAATGTTTTAATGTCCTCGGTCTACGCTGGCTCCCTCCAAAGCTCGGACAGCGAGGAATGTTTTAATGTCCTCGGTCTACGCTAGCTCCCTCCAAAGCTCGGACAGCGAGGAACATTTTAACACAAGCTGGACTTCTAATTGTGTCACTGTGGCATTAAACTTTGTGACACGCATAACTCCGGCTCTACGCAACTGAATCGACGTACTGAAGCACTTGATAGCGCACTGCTGGGACAATCAACCAGAGAGCATCACCTGATGAAAGCTGTGGTCGTCTGTGAGCGACATACACATCTGATGCCAAAAAGAAGAAAGAAATGCAGATTCGTATGCTTTAAGTTGTGCAATTTTTATATTTGTTTTTAAAATGAAATGTATGTACATATATTGTCTATTTTAAATAGTTTTGTATATGTTTTTAAATAAATGTTGTTCCTCAGGAGGTGTTTAAATGTTCATATTTACTTTATGTAAATAAATGTTACATAAAACTGATCTTGTTTTTTTGTTATTCCTCAATGACACTTATCCTAGAGCTGAAGTTTGTATAGTTGTGGAAAAAATAATCAGCCACTTGAGTTAGTACATGAAGATATGCTTTAAACGTAACCTTAGATAACCAGTGGCATTTGTGACTTCTTAACGCTACTTTCAAACAGTTGAGGGGAAACAGAACTGTCGCTCTATTTATAACATGAGTGTATTATCAGCTTAAGAACTTTTAAATGACTAAAAGTTAAATGTGTATTAAGATTGGAGGACTGGTCATTTTTGTTTAAGTGAATGCATGTTGGGGTTTTTTACGGATTCTTAACTTGGATTTTAGTGAAGAAGAAATGTAAGTAGTCATGTTTAGACGTCTTCAGCAGAGGGCAGCATCGTGTACACTTCTCAGGGTAAAGGACTCTTCACTGCACTCTGATGACAGCACACAGTTTGACAAACAGATGCATAGACAAATACATTATCAACATCACGAGTGAGCATTGTTATTAACTGCCTTGAACAAAAATGAAAATATGACTAGTGCATAACATACTGCCCATGCTGGTTGCCCATTACATTTCCATCCTAATGATTTAGTGTCAAAAAGCGTTACATGTGGAATTAAAAAGGTTAGTTTTTATTTAGTCCGTCTTGGTCAGTCTTTGCAAATCCTCCAACTTTACAAGCAGATTATTTGAATAAATAGAACTTTTCTGTCAAGTACATAATGGCACAAAGTGTACTGTGTATCTAGGATTATTTTTGGCTCCTGATAAGGAATTCAACGGTAGAAATGATTAACATGTTTAATAGGTCACGCAAGCCCTCCTATTATAATAATCATGCACTCACAGTATGCCAGTATGTATGTAGTCATTGTACATTGTGTTGTATTATAATGCCATATGCAGCACCAACTTGTGCTTTTGCAAACTAAAGTGTCTGTATATTATACGAGTTATTCTCAACGGAGACTTTTCACATTATAAATATGTTGTATCACTAAACATCTGTGCTGAAACCTGAGGAAAATACCTATAAAACAAACACAACATCTATTGAAAAAATATTCCCAGGATAACAAATCTGGTTTGCTTGCATCTGTCATCACCTGTTTAGGGGAGCTATGGAGCTGCAAAGAGCATCAGGGACATCAGGTAGTTAGTTACCTCTGACATTTGCAGGATGCCCCATTTGACCATTCAGTAAACTTTCACTCATAGGTCAGCCGGATGTCCTGTGACGTGGGAGAAAAACAAACTGCAGGAGGTATAGCGGTATGTATAACTCTTATATATACTAGGGCTGTCAAACGATTAAAAATTGTAATCAGATTAATCACAGTTTAAAAATTAATTAATCATGATTAATCACCATTCGAACTATGTCCAAAATATGCCATTTATTTATGCATATTGTTGTGGGAATGGAAAGATAAATGAAAGAAGGCGGATATATCCATTTAACATACAGTATCTATGTTTATTATAACATTTTTCTGCGTGTCAAAATGAAAGACAATTACCCACACACCTATCAATCATCAAACCGTGGGGTCTTAATTCATTACGTGTTGATTTCTATCAACGGGGGAGTACTTCAGGAAAGTCGACGGGGGGGGGGGGGGCGGCGGCTAGTGGAGTACTTAGTTCGTGACCACAGAGTGTGAAAGTTGTGATCAGCTGTTTTAGCGCAGTTCTCCAGTGAAGGGGGGGGGGGAGTGTCTCCCTCCGTAGCCAGTTGGCGTAGTTTTGGCACAATTCCGTTGTACAGACCGACGTTAACAGCAGCCCTGTCTGTGCACACGGAGACCGACTCTGTCGTCCGGTGATCTAACCGCCTTCTGGAAAAGCTTCACAAGTACGTCGGCACGCAAATGCACTTTGTGACACAAGTGACGGTACGCATTTCAGAGAGATTACGCACATAACCTGCGCACCAGTTATGTGCACCCCTGTACTACAGCAAAAGTATTCTCCGTCGGGACTTCCTGCAACAACACCACGCCGTTATCAAAGATGTTCTATTGAGAAGACGATCACTACGTGACAAAAGTTTTCAAAACCGTGGCTACTGAAATCAATCTTACTAACTGCTGTCTGTGCAATTTACTCCGCGCGAGTTGGCAGACTTTATTTTGCTTACTTTAACATCATTTTTCATGGTGGGGCTAAGCCATTTCTTGGTATGGGTGTAGCCCTACCCCAGCCATACCCTGGCGCTGCCACTGGTGGCACGTATGGGGCGGGCCATTCTGCACATGCGTTAAATGCGTTAAATATTTTAACGCAATTAATTCAAAAAATTAATTACCGCCGTTAACGCGATAATTTTGACAGCACTAATATATACATGTCACGGTTAGTACGGTCACATGTTTCCAGTTGAGATTAATCGGTTTCTGCTGTTACTGCAGGTGAATAAGGGCAAATAAGCAATAGCTGCGACCATGTTCGAGCACTGACACACATGCACAAACACACACAACCTTACACATATTCTCTTCTGAACTCAATGATGCCTCCAAGACGAGTGAATGAAAAACAGATCATGAGTTTGTGATATTAAGTGAATTTGTATATTATGTTCTTTTTCAATATGCTCCACTCTTTTACTGATACACTTCCTTTTAGTCAACTGGTGTTAACAGCAAAAAAAACAAAGCCTAAGCAGTTATTAGATCGAGGTACATTTTTAAAACAAAGGCCTGACGAGCATGTCTGATATAATTAGTAGGGATGTAACGATACCAAAAACTCACAGTACGATAATCTCGCGATAAAAGTCCATGGTACGATATTTATCGCGATATTGAAAAATTACGGAGCTCTGGAGGGTTCATAGAGAGAAAAATAAATAAAACGTGGCCACGTTTTACTTTCTCGAGTTACTAAAGCGTGCGCACGAGTTACTAAAGCGTGCGCACGAGTTAATAAAGCGTGGCCTCGTTTTATTTAAATTGAGGGATTCCTGTCCGTGACTCACAGTATCTGCTGCCCACAGCTGTTTTATAGAAGGAAAACCTCCTTCACTTTATGAAATCTCTGCGGCACCAGTGGCCTGTACTCAGTGGCGACTGGTCATTAGGGGCAGGTGGGGCACAGCCCCACCTAGTGTCAGCAGAAAGTATTAAAAGTAATGATTACAAAAAAATGCAAAAGATAAATTATAAAATATATTTTAAGATCATGTTTATTCATCTGATTCGTCTGTACATTGCTGTTTTAGTCTGTGTTCTTCTAATTAGTGTCTACAGTGTGTGCCTATTGAGCTGTTTTGAGCCATGTGGGACAAAACCCGATCCTGCCCCTCCCTCTCCCTGTTTAATCAATGGTGACTGTAAAAACTACACTGCGCATGCTCAGAGTATTGTCCTATTTAATGTGTGTGGCAAAAAAATAATGACCATAGGGGCATAGTGCTGCCATCCCCACCATACGTCATCTCACATAATTCAGAGCTGATTGGCTGTAAGTACGTGTGCCGCGAAAAGTGTGGTGTGTGAAGAGGAGGAGAGAGAGCTGCAGTGAGGCGTCCTCAAACCCGGAAATAAACTGCGCATGGCTTCCCTCCACAACAAAGCAATGATATTTCTCCATAGGATTTTAGAAAATAGCTCAAAATAAGATCTGTGGGAAACAAACCTGTTAGATAAATGCACGTTTTGTTCAGCCAGATAATATCCACATGTCTACCCTACTTTTATAATTTTCGAATCATAAATCTATTGATTAGATCAGATTTATGATAGACTTTTGAAACTACAAGAACATAAGGAGGACTTTTACAAAAAAGTAATAGAGATTTTTGTCCAGAAGGATATGCAAATGGACTTCATCTTCATGTCAAGGTAAGACTGCAATTTGATTGAAAATGGGATCTTACTAAGAGAGAACAATTCAATATTTAAATGATACAATTATATTTTTTGGGTATCCTTTTGTTGAACTGTCTGTTTAAAATTAATTGAAGCATCAGACAAAAAAAGCTTTTGAAAATAATATGATATTTTGATTTAGGTCAAAATATAATATTTGTAAACCTGAAGAGTCAGAGCCTCACCAGCCATGAACCTCAGAAGCTTATATATAGACATCTACGTTTTTTGTGCCCCACCACTTTTGTACATATAAAAACGCCACTGCCTGTACTACGAAGCAGGATTTGCTATTTACACTATTCATTCATGAAGTATGACGCTGCGCTGTCAGCACGCGTCTCCATGTTTGTGATTGGTCAAATGTTGCTAACCCCGTCCCTTTCACGTGAACGCGCTCTCAGCCGGACAGAGAAACCCTGGTTGATTTACTGAGTTGATAACCAGCTTCGTAGGACCGCTTATCGACATCGCGTTTGTTAGGGTTAGTTAAGCCGGGTAAATCGAACATGTCCAGGTCCAGGGTCTGTTGAACTGGCTTCGTCGTACAGGGCACTGGAGGCAGTAACGTGTAACTCAGCAGAATCCGAGAAGAGCAGCACCAGCTGCAAAGAGCTGTGCCTTTTACTGTTTACTTCACTGCGTTTCCCTTCATTAGAACCGCTGAATAGAGATCGAGGCTGCTACGTTTAACCACACACACCTATACACACATCGAACTACCAGAGTATTCTCCCTCGTTTTATGAAGGAGATGTCCTGTCACCGGGGCGCATGATGTGTGTGTGTGTGTGTGTGTGTGTGTGTGTGTGTGTGTGTGTGTGTGTGTGTGTGTGTGTGTGTGTGTGTGTGTGTGTGTGTGTGTGTGTGTGTGTGTGTGTGTGTGTGTGTGTTCTCAGCTCCGCTCTGTGTGCGTGTTCGTGTGTATCCGACACCACCGACATTTGTTTTCAAATTACCACGAACAGTAGGCTACTCTAAACAAATCTGGTTCCCCATAGTTAAATGTATTCCCAAGTGAAAGAAATGTGTTTAATCTTAATCTCGATGTGCTATAGCAGGGGCGTCGCCTGGGGTAGGCATCCGGGGCTTTAGCCCCGGATGTTTTTTCTTTAGCCCCGGACAAATTCTCC